CATATGGTGTAGCTGTTTTTATTGTTTTATGGACTAAAACATATGGTGTAACTGTTTGGCTAAGATTTTATTACAGTTATGAATTTGGTGATAAAATTTGGTGGGAAAATAGAGTAATACATACCTAACTATTTATAAATGGAAAGCACTTGAAATTGCATCTGTGTCTAAAGTTTTCAGGAGTCCAAAGTGGTCACCATATATATTGGCCGCTCGGAGCTTGTGAGCCATGTTTTAAAATATGTAATTCTCACATGGTTTACCCACATTAAACTGCCCCATTTGGTGGATTATGTACAAAGCAGTGTTATTAGCATAAGTTAGATCACACTTTTTCTCTTTTTTTAGATAATCTGCTGACTTACTTTGAACTACAGCCTTAAAAAAAATATAGAACGATCTTAAAATCGAATTTTGACGATTCAGCATTTGTTCAAGTTTATAGTCCCTGCCACTGCATACGTGAGCAAACGAACGCACCAGTTTATACATCCTATCATTATGTAACGTTACATGTACCAGTGTCCAAATTTAGCTTATATCGATGTACATAGCATACGTAAAATATATTGACTTCCCAACTGCACATGAAATAATTAACCATCTCAATGATTCAATAATTATTACAGTCAGCGTGTGTATCGTTTAATATTATTATTATTATAAAGTCCAATACTGTGTATATACATTTTATCATCACAGTGGATATAATAGTGCTTGCACTAATGTTTATTGCTTAATTTGATATATCGACTTAAAAAACATTTTTTTATCTCATATTTCATGGTGAAAATTTGTGTACAGCTATGGTGTTGGTGACTGGTGGCAGAGTGTAAAATGTAGACATAGACTAACAGTAGTGGTGGTGGACAGTAAATGTACTTAATAAGACATTCAAGCTTGTGGAGGCAGCACAGCCATCCATATCACAAAGTAATCCATCCCCAACAAACCGGGAACTCTGTGTAATATGTCAGGAAGACACAAACGAGCCCCGCCAATGTCCAAGTCAATCAAATCAACCAGACAAACCGACTGGATACAAGTCATGGTTATACACCTAATCAGATTCCATGATCTAAAAGAGCTACCAAGAACCTTACAGTTGACAAGGCTAGATGATGGTCATGGTGTTGAGGAGAGTCTTTCAGCCAACAATGCCAAGTGGCATAAAACATGCAGGCTGCAA